CACATTCACTCTCATTCTCTCAAAGGTTAATAGTAAACTGTAACTAATATTTCAAATAATTAATGCGTTTGATAAAGTATTAATGTATAATATATTTTGGGCTACATTTGGTAATATATTTTTAATTTCATTTTTATCATAAGTAGTTAAATAAAATACTATTTATTTTACCAACACTGTTTTTACATTAACGGCAAAACATATAGCCCGGGTGCGATCAACACAAACTTCATGAAAGCACTTGGTAATGATCCGGCCAAAGTGACCGCTGGTATGGCTCGAGTATTACCCGTGCGAATCGGTGGCCAACCCGAGCACATAGCGGAGGCCATACTGTTTTTGGCCTCAGACTCGGCCGCCTTTATCACCGGCTCGTGTCTGGTGGCCGATGGCGGACATATGGCCGCCGGTCTCGGCTATCACTACGATAACCAAAAGGCTAAACAATGATTGAACATTACTTTTTATTATGATTATTTTATTATTTTTAACATTGTTTTTAGTATGTTTTGACGTAAACTTTTAGTTTATAAAACCCATAAACGATTAATTAATAATTTTACTAATCTGATCATTATTAGTGTATAGTTTAGTTAATAAAAGGTTTATAAATTATGAAGTGTTAAATAATTGTATCTTAATTAATTAAATTTATTTAATATCAACTAATTATTTAATCATTACCAACATTTAATTTGATGTACACTACATATTATTTTATATAAAATTATTTGTTTACAGTGATTATAGGTGTCGTTGTAGATGGCAAAATTACAACTTTTCAAAGTTTTGCATCGTCAAGGTCGGCTCGATGTACAACTTGAATTATTCCATAGAAATTCAGTGCAACGCGACCTTCATAAGTCCTGTTAAGTAAAGTAATTATGCTATGCGCTGCACATTACAGCATACTGTACATGTACTGTACAGTACAGTATGTATTGGTAATGTTAAATATAATAATGAAAGTGAATTTACTAAACAAACTTTTATTTTTATCATGTTATATTTATTTGAAGCCATAGAAACGGCGGATAAATAATCAACGACATTTTCACGTTTACGTTAATTTTGAGTTGGTTAAATAATATTATCTAAATTAATTATTTACGTAATTATTTAAATTATTTTGTGTTGACTTGTTGATTTACAAAAATGAGTGATGTTGATAGGCGATGTTTAATTTGTGGTGATATTGCGATAGGTAAATTAATATGATATAATTATGATGTTTATTTGATAAATTACTAACTATGATTATACAATTTATGATCAGGCAACAATTTTGACACATTGTCCTGTGCCTCATGTAAGGCATTTTTCCGGCGACACGCCGTACGAGTAAAGGTATATTAAGTTGAAATATAAAATGTAATATAAATTCACCAAGATCTATTTCTTATATTTAGCCCTTTAAATGCCATTTTGGTAATAAATGTCCAATTAATTTGCAAACGCGAAACAAATGCAAAAAGTGCCGCATCGATAAATGTTACGCTATGGGAATGAATAAAGTAATTATTGTTCTATTTATTAACTAGATTAAAACTATAATCTTTGGCTAGTATAAATAATATTAATTTAAAATTAAAAGATTAATGTATTAATTATTAATTAATTACTTAACTAACCAAATAATGTACAATATATGCATTAGTTATTATTAAACTACTTTTTAAAATAAATTTACAGTTATGTTAATATAATTCTCTAGTTCATATTTACATCTAGTTTTATCGACCTAGTAATATATTTAAGAATTAATTAATAATCAATTAAAAATT